AACAGAGTGGCACATTGTCATTATGTACATTTATGGATTCACGATTTAAAGTGCAGAACAAAACAAAAAGTTAAGAAGCTGGTTACTTCTATAATTAACGAACAAGAAGATTGTACTATTGAAAATCAACCAGTACAAGAAAAAGAAACCAATAAATATGACTTAAGTCCATGGTGTATTTTTGATCAATTAATTGGAGATGACTCATCTACACGTACACCTGCATCGAGAGTCCATTACAAGAAAAACTTATGTTTTTAGGTCAATTTAGACTATTCGCGATTTAATAATAACGTGTAATGTAAATGTAAGTCCGATTTACTATTTGTATTGTTTAGTTTATTTTTCAAGTTATAATAAATATATCATTAGGTAGTTTCTTTCACTTCAAAAGATATACACATAAACGATAATAGCCGTTATGTTTATTTATGTAGGTACTATCTTACTTGAAACTACTTTTAAACAATCATAGTTACTTGTTTATGAAAATTAAAATTTTTAAATGCTTTTTAGCATTCAAAAAAATTTAAATTTTTTTGGAATCCTGAGAAAACTAACAAATATTTTTGAAAAATTTAAATGCAGAATGAAAGATTACATTATTACCGAGGGCCGAAGGTCCCTTAGAATAAACAAAAAGTTTTTTTAATGAGATATTTGAAATTAAAAATCACACTAAATTTTGTTTTTTTTTTTCATCCCTATAACTTATTAAAATAAACATTATAGAAGTTTTCAGGGACTTTCAGCTCTCGGTAATAATGTATTGTTTCATTCTGCGTTTAATTTTTTCAAAAATATTTATTTAGTTTTCTCAGGATTCGAAAAAAATGAATGCATTTAAAAAACTTTGGCTCGAAATTTTGCTCCTACGCTGTTAACGATAAACTAGCACGACCCACCTCTACTTCTCGTTACTCGATCTTTTGACCAGACGACAATCTAGACTAGACGTTGCCAAATAAATTAGTGTATGAATATTTTTTAATTTGGCGTTATTGTATGCATGTTTAATTGTTTATTATTTCATATTGGGAAATTATTTTGATATTTAGATTTTTAGTTCGGAAATCGTACTTAAAATACGAAACATTAATAAATTTTATTTATATAAAACGATTTCCGAAATGGAAATCAAAATGTTATATTACAATTATTGTAAAGAAAACTTGTGGCATATTCCGAATAAAAAAAACAGTAACCTGCCATTTAAATCAATTTCGCCCAAATTTGATTGTCTTGAGCATTTTATCTTCTTGATAGAACATTGTTCAAATGCAAAAAAAGACAACAGGTCAAATAAAACCAATAAGTTTGGCAACGTTGAATTTCCTCTTTTTTAATATTTCCATTCGGCGATATAAAGGGCGTACCTAATATACCTCTCTCTTTTTAAACAGCTGTTTCTCACTCCATCTCACGTAAGGTCCATACCGACCATAAAATTTTTCCTACACTGTAGATATTAAAATAACAAATAACGTCTTACAATTTTTCGTGCCTTTCATTGCTTGTTATCGAAACCAATGCAATGTTCCGTGCAAAACTGTTGTATATCTGTTACATTAGAGTTACAACAGTATTGCTCGGAGCTTATGTACAAAAACGTAAAATAATTAAACTCTTGTTGTTGTAATATTTAGCCGGTTAAGCATTTAAAAGTTACTAAAGTTTTACAGGGGATAGATATGCATCTTTAAAATCGAATTCCATGATTACTTCATTTTCATAAAATTTTGAGTTACTGCAGTCTTGCACTGAGGGTGCGATATATCCGAAAAACTTTTTACGCAAAAATAAATATGCCTACCAAAAATATTAATTATATTATTATATTTTTGATTTTAGATTTGGGAGAAAGTTGCGGAAATCAAATTTTTGCAGTATGTAAAAAAGGATTGTTATGTATAAGAAGCAAATGCAGCTTTCCATTGAAAGGTTAATTGTAACTTCAGTGATGTCTATTGTAAATAAAAATGTTAAAATTAAAACATAAATATAATAATATTGCGTACTATTCTTAAATTACATAAATATAATAGATCACTGCATAAACATAGTTTTATTTTCTAAATTATGTTTTATACGATTTAATTTTTCTAAGGCAGGTGGTTTTCCAACTTTCAATGCCCAATTTTCAATTACTAATTTTAATTGTGCTCCTCCACCTTTTTTTTTTTCATAAATAAAAAAATTGCGACGTATTTCATAAAGTGTCAAAACATACAAGGAAGAAGAACAGTATGTGAAAGTTGTTTTTGTGACAACATTAAACGGGATCCTAAATATAAGATGCACGTTAATAGAATACATAATTACCAATATTAAAAGAAGAAATCAATAGAATTAATGTACAAATAATTGAAATCCTTGTAGATCAGACGAAATAGAGACAGATGCAATAAAAATAACAATGAAACATAAATCTGCTAACGCATCTTTTTACCAACATCCATAAAGCTGGCTGTATACAAGAAAAATAGCTTAAACTAAAATTTACTGTTACCAAAGAAAGTTAGCTTCCACAGATGAGACGAATTTAGACAATAAAACTAACAATGAAAACATAAATCTGCTAACGCATCTTTTTACTGACATCCATAAAGCTGGCTTTATACAAGAAAAATAGCTTAAACTAAAATTTACTGTTACCAAAGAAAGTTAGCTTCCACAGATGAGACGAATTTAGACAATAAAACTAACAATGAAAACATAAATCTGCTAACGCATCTTTTTACTGACATCCATAAAGCTGGCTTTATACAAGAAAAATAGCTTAAACTAAAATTTACTGATACCAAAGAAAGTTAGCTTCCACAGATGAGACGAATTTAGACTCATTAGCTTAATGAATAAATTAATAAAAATAATCTAAAAAATTATAATAGGGAATCGTTATTATAAAAAATGTGAGATAGACTTTTAGTTCGGATTTAGAAACAGTCTTGGGAACAAGTGAAGCGCTCTTTGAGACTTAAACGCTAACTCATTATACATATGTCCTGATCAAAAGTAAAAAAATATATGTCTGCTTCGTTGACTACCAGAAGGCTTTTGATAGAAATTAGCACGAAAAACTGTTAAATGAACTGCAAATAATGAAGCTGAATGAAAAAGATCTTCGCTGCCGCTCACTGATCAATCAGCGTAGCGACAGCCCGTCCCGCGTCGGTAAAAATTACCAATTAGCTCTATGGCTAGAAAAACCAAACTACTAACTACGTCATAATCTCAGAGAACAAAGGAATCTCTGAAATAAAATAAATTTTTCGTATTTTTGTAGTCAAGGGCCACTAGAGAAGACTCCTAGGCTCGGTGTTTATACATCCATCTCGAATCTGCTTTTTTTATTTCTTTTTATATGTAGATTGATGGATTTATTAGTATTTCTTATCTTATGATATTTCTAGGTCCTGTAGATCATACACCTTGAAATACCCAATTATTTGTACTATTTTATTATTGCTATAGATTTCCTATTATTTCTAGCGAATTCTCACCTCATAGACCATACGCTAGATAATAATTTTGATGGGATTTTCAGACAGATTCCCATTCACAAGTGTAAGATTCACAAATTAATGTACTTGTCGAGAGACTTACGTCGATACCTTACTTCCCCAAGAAGCATAGACAATCATAGACACCAGGTTTACTCTAAGGTCGAGGTCTGAAGACCATACGAAGTCCGTAGAGATCTGCGAAGCTCAAGAACCCTCATCCGCAGACCCTTGGTAACAAAAGCAAGAGAAAAGAAACAACAGAGACTTTGTTATATTTGAGTAAGTGGGAGCGAGAGTGACGCCCAAAAAGTACATCAAGTATATGGAAGTTACGCTTCACCAAGATGGGAGTTGGAAGAATATTTGGATAATGCTCAATATCGGTGGACCCAAACAAAGCATACGATGTTGTGCAGTCTGTCGTTCTCTATGCGGCTCCAGTCTGGAGTGAGGCATTAGACATACCAACTTATAAGAGGCTCATGGTACGCGTTGACAGAGATAGTCTGCTGTGGGTAGCATGTGCCTAGAGGACTGTGTCAGCTGCCGCTCTGTGGGTGATTACCGGCTGTGTTCCTTCACATGAGCTGGCACGTGAAAGGGCCAGGATTCATAGTCGTAGGGGGCAGAACATTGGAGAGCAAGAGATGACTGAGATAAGGCTGGCCAACAGATTAGTTTTAATCGGTTAGTGACAGCAAGAGTGGTAGGCAACAGGTTATGTGGCGTAGTGAGTAACAATAATGAGTAACAAGAGTAACAATAAAAAATAAAATCACAAACGAACGAAAACAAACCAGAGTTACAAATCTTGTGGAGAGAACTCGCAGATTGAAATGGGGATAGGCTGGTTACGTAGCAAAAATGAAGGATAGAAGGAAAAAACGCAAGCTAACCAAATGGAAGTCATGAATAGATAACCAAAACACAAGGCCAGTTCACAAAAGCAAGATGATCTGCGAAAGATCACGAAAAAGATGACGAAAAATTGGATTCACAGTCGATTTAGCCTAATCAATCGGTTACTCGTTATTTCTTTTAAATGACAACTAAAAGTATTAAAACGAACGAACGATTAAAATGATTCGATCGTTTTCGGAATCGTTCACTGATTGATTCGGTTCTCGTAAAATGAACGATTGATACAATACTTTTTTTGACTACAAGCAAGGGAGGCCTATATCCTTCACTGGATATAGGGGTTCGTTATGAAGGTATGTTCTATCACCAGCCCTTCAACGAGCTGGTGATAGAACATACCTTCTGAATTTATTCTAAGGTCAAACAACATTACATGTTAAATTAAAGTTGTTTTTGTTTTTCACTGTATTTTTAAAGTAATTACCTTATACAATAAATAATACATTATACAAAGTAGAACATTTTAACATTCTTAACTGGAATTTTAACAATGACGTCTGTATAATAAACTAAAAATAGTCTTATCTTCCTTAATAAATATAAATGCCAAAACAAAAAAGTTGGATACTATATTTATAAAGCTCCGAGCCATTTTCAAATGTTTTAAAATGATTTCCTACAGAATTTCAATACTTTTATTATTTTCCGTTGCATACCTAATTGAAACTACTTCTGCGGATGCTACTTGCTGTGATAATAATAAGCAAGTATGTATAGATCCACATTGTAAGCCGAATCAAATTGCAAAACGTGTTCCCGAATTGTGTAGATGCTGTCCTCAATGTTACACAATTAAAGGTAACAGTTATTTTATATATTTTGTTTTACTGATTTTGCTACTGCCATTATTTTTAATTACTTGTTGTTGGTACAGTGCCAATGATGCAATATTTAGAGCAGATGATCGCAAGGTGGAAGCCGATGCTCCCCATGTTGTGCCGCACAGCTTCTGGATGATGTTTTTTCTGGTTTTTAGTTATTCTGCTGTTTTTGACATATGTTTCTTGAAAGATAGGATTCTGTCAAGAGTCACCTCAAGGTACTTTGGTGTTTTATTGTAGGCGAATATGCTGTATTCAAAGTGGATGTTGAGTGTTCTTCCTGCAAGCTTGTTATCTAGATGAAAACTGGCAACCTCTGTTTTGGTATCCTTTGGTTGGAGCCTCCTTCTACGGAAATAGTTTTTCACTATGTGTAAGTCTACAGTGAGGATTTCTTCTGTTTGTTGAAATGACTTACACCTTGTTGCAAGGAACCAGTCATCGGCGTAACCAAACTTTCTTGATTCTGTTTCTGGTATATAAGCGATGTAAAGGCTAAAGAGAAGAAGAACTGGTACAGATTACTAAGGCAGTCCATTCTTCACTTTTCTTGGGGTGCTGATGTCGGTTTCCATAATTACTCGAATCTAGCTAGCATGCTGTTGATTATTCGAGCGGTGGATTTACAGAAGATTATACGGAGGAGCTTGTATATTATAAATTATCTCCAGACTGTATCGTAGGCCACTGTTAGATCTATGCATGTGGCTGCAGTTTTAAGTGTTATCTCTGGAATTCTGCCTCAATATATGTGGTAAGTGAAAAAACCTGATTTACGCAGCTGCATTTCGGTCATAAACCTGCCTGATCAACTGGTATTGATTCAAGTAGCTTTGGACTAATTCTGTTGTAGATAAGTCGTTCTAGTAGCTTCAACGTTGCCGATAGTAGGGCTATTGGTCTGTAGTTTTTAGGGTTGTTATCATTTGGTTTTCCTTGTTTTGTAATGACAATTATTTTCGAGCGTTTGAGTTTCTGTGGTATGGTACCGGTCTTCATAATATGTGAAAAAGTGGACCATCCATTCTCTTGCATATTTGCCGCTGTTTATTCAGGATTTGGGATGAATATTGTCAAAACCTGGGGCTTTACCTAGCTTTACATCCTTAAGAGTTATAGTGACTTCTTCGTAAGTGAAATGGAGAGAGTATTCTGTTTCTGTAGACTGCAATTTTAAAGTTTTGAGCTCTCGTTTTACCTTGATTGTATGTGGCTTGTCTTTCGGGGCCCTAGATGTCGATACCGGATGTGAGGCAATAGTGTTTGAGTTAATTGTTATTTCGTTTCTTGTTATGGGAGTTCCGCTTCCTAATTTTCTTATTATTGTTCATGCTTGCTTACTTGATGTTTGAAAATTAAGCCTTTCTACAGTTTCTGTCAATTTTTCTCGCTGCATCTAGGATATAGAGCAGTGCATCGGCTAATTCTTGATTGCCGCTTTGAAGGAAACTTTGGTACAGTTCTTAGCTTTTATGGGACTAACCAGGAATGTATTCTTTTCGGTAGCCTCTTTATATATGATTTTTGGTTTGGCAGTGATTATTATGACTTCAACGAATCTTTTGTATATTCTGACGGTAAAGAGTATCCAGCCTAGAGTCTTGTCCAGTTCCGTGATTATAGGAATCTTGGTTCCTGTCTCTAAGATCACTCGGCTGTGTAAGAAATCGTCCATTACTTTTCGGGAGACTGCTAGAGGTTGCCCGTTTTTATTAGTAGAGACAAAGCAAAGATCAGGATTGTACTCCTTCTTCCATGCTGCTGACATTAATGTAGGTCGGTCTTTAACGTCAAACTTTAGTGATAGATGTTCATCCTTCGCTTATTTTACTAGTGCATTTCCATAACTGTTGCATTGTTAATATTTTCACTGCTCATGGTAACTGTTTTAGTCACCATGAACAGTGTGTGATATGTGTCGATGACTTGAGCTGGCCAGAATATAGCCGGTGGTTTGTAGGTGTTAGTAACAGTGATGCTTTAGATTTTTACAACAACATTGTGAATTTTATCATCAGTACACGTGGAAACAAGGACGGCATTTTCTATATTTTGTTTAACGTACGTTGCTGTGCCGTTGCTGTGATCGTATTATCGATGGCACGTATCACCCAGTAGTTCAAAGCCAGTTATTTTTGCTAGTATATATTATAAAATATATCAATTTGTTTATTTCTGCCTTTTACATCCTGATTCTACGAAATCTGGATAAAAACCTATTTTGCTCTTGAGAGTTTTTGCGTCATATCTGGCTATCCTCACTTAGTTTAGCTCGCAGATTAATGCAGTTGCCCTATCATGAATATTCCAATGATCTGTTAACGCCTTAACTAAAGGTGCTACCTCGATAACACAACCTTACAATCGTGCATGTGACTACTTATTATTAAATAATTATATTTTTGATTTTAGGTTTGAGACAAAGTTGTGGGGATCAAATTTTTGCCGTATGTAAAAAACCATTGATATGTATTAGCAATAGATGTACCTATCCATTGTAAATTTCACTTTAACTTCAATGATGTCGGTAGAAAATGGAAATTTATAGATCTTATAAATAAATAAAATATAAACATATTATGATTTGTAAACTAGTCTTAAACTTTTCTAGTCTTAAAAAGTTTTCCTTAATTATTTTTCACAATTTAGATGTAAAGAGTGCGGGCTAGTTATAACTATAAAACGTCGCAAACCAGAATGTCTGGGCCATATAATGCCTACTTGTATGTAACGATACTACCTACTTCAGATTATACTTTAAGGTAAGGTGTACAAAAAAATAAGTCCAGAAAGAAAAAGAATATCTCTTATAATGAATATATAAAGAATATATTCATAACCTGCATAAATGGTTTAACTTGACCAATACTGAGTCATTCTACAGACATTTAAGGGCAGCAGTCAACAAGTACGAGGTGTCCAAGGTAATTGATGAATTTGATCTGCGACTATCTGTCAGAGAGGAAAATTGTGGTAGAAAAAGGAGTGGTGGTTGACGTAGTGGAACTTGGCATATGACGGGGTTGTAAGACAACAATATGGAGAGGGTGTAACCCTTTCGCATTTGCGAACGACCTCGCTATGCTGGTAGTGGCGCGGGTCAGGGAGCACCTTATCTTTGGTGCACAGCGTACATGTAACTCCAAAGAAATGCGTAAGGTATTTAGGGGTGACTCTGAGTCAAAATGGAGTGGGGAGAGCACGTAAAGGCGGTGACTCAAATAGCTGCGCTAAGATCCGGCGCATTGAAGGGATCATGCAAAATATCGGAGGATTCAAATCTGAGAGAAGGAGGGCCCTTCATTATATTGTGCAATCGATCATCCTTTACGCTGCGTCTCTAGAGTAAAGTAGTTTTAACAAAAACGTACAGAAAACAGCTTACTAAATGATAGAAAAACTCTATTGAGGGTGGCATGTGCATACATAACAGTCTCTGCCGATGAGTTAGGAGTAATCACCGAGTGTATTTCGATGCACGTGCTAGGGAAGTAAAGAGGAAGAATTTACGAGAAAAAAAATTGGGACATAACAACAGAACGTTTAGACAAAAAGAAAGCGAGAGGTCCATAATGGTGTGGCAAGACAAATGGGACGAGACGAAAAGGGTGGCGCAGTACACGAAGTCGCTGATTCCTAATCCGAGAAGATGAATGGACTGCGAACACCGACGTTTGGATTACTTTCCTGGTGCAGATTTTCACAGGATATGATTGCTTTAGAGCATACTCATTTATAATTGTAAGTTAAACTATCTAGTTGTGTTAGTTAAATATATGTGTTAGTTATATAAATATATAATATAATTAAATATATATTATTAGCAATATGATTTAATAGTACTACCTAACACAGGGTGATCGAGTTCGTGTTGCTTAGTTTACGATACGTGACTACCTGTAACTGTACATAAAAGAATTGTGATCACGGTCACCGTTTAAAATCACTGTTATTTAAAAATCACGGTCACTGATCACTGCGTGAGGTAAAAATCACCACGTTCGCCATCACTAATACACAATATTTAATAAAGTTGTAATTTAAATACTATCTTCAAAAGATTAACCTACAATGGATTGTAATGAAAATTTTTAGTCAGCACATCTCTGAACGACTTGCACCTAACATTACTAGAACTCGGACAGGTGTCACAAAAGAAACTATAGAACTCATCATCATCATCATCACTGGCTCGACAACCCTTTTTGGGTCTTGGCCTGTTCAAGGATTCTTCTCCATTCTGACCTGTTTCGTGCTTTTTTTTCCAGTTTTTAATTTTTAATGTTGTTATATCATTTTCTATTTGTTCTATGTATCTCAGCTTCGGTCTTCCTCTTGTTCTTTTTCCTACTGGCACTTGTTTGAATATTTTGTTTGGTATTTCGCCTTCTTCCATTCTTTCCACATGTCCAATCCAACGTAGCCTTCCTATTTTAATGAATGTTATAATATCCGGATCCTGGTATATGTTGTATAGTTCAAAGTTATACCTTCTCCGCCAAATCCCGTTTTCTTTTGTGCCCTTATATATGTGTGGCAAGATTTTTCTTTCAAAGGTGGCTAATAACGTTTCCTCCCTTTTAGAGAGCGTCCAGGATTCTGAACCGTATGTGAGTACCGGTTTTTCTGGAGACGTTATCTGATCTTAGTTGCCTAATTAAGCCATGGTAACATTTATTGGCAATACATATTCTCCTCTTCACTTCCTCTGCAACGTTGTTATCAGACGTAACTAGGGATCCTAAGTATGTAAAGTTTTTTATCGCCTCAATGTTGTATTCTCCTATTATTAAATTTGGCAGCTGCCTTATTTGCGCGTTTTTATTTGCAGGCATATATTTTGTTTTTGTCTGATTGATTTTAAGACCACTATTTTTTGCAGCTCGTTCTATTTGAGTGAATGCCTCTATCATTGTTCTTCTTGATCTTGCGATTATGTCAACATCATCTGCAAATGCTAGTACTTGTACGCTTTTATTAATTATTGTTCCTCGGGTATTAACTGTTGTGTCTCTTATTATTTTTTCAAGTATGATGTTGAATAATATGCATGATAGAGCGTCTCCCTGGCTTAGTCCCTTCTTCACATCTATTGTTTCCGTTAATTCGTTTTGAATCCGGATTTTACTTTCTGCTTTTAGTGTTTCTTTTATCAATTCTATTAGCTGTGTTGGTATATTAAATTCTTTCATAACTTTTGTTAGGAATTCTCGGTTTATATTGTCATACGCGCTTTCGCAAGTCTATGAAGAGATGATGTGTGTCGATGTTATATTCACTTGTTTTTTCAAGGATCTGTCGCAGAACAAATATCTGGTATATTGTTGACTTCTGTCTACAGAAGCCACACTGGTATTTGCTAACTATTTTTTTAGCGTAAGTCTTTCATACATTACGTTGGACATTATTTTGTATGCCGCATTCAACAGCGTGATTCCACGGTAGTTTTCACATTCTAACTGGTTTCCTTTTTTATGTAGTGGTACAATAAAGCCGCTATTCCACTCCTTTGGCAGCTGTTTATTCAACCATATCTTTCTTATCAGCTTATGTATGGCTTTAAGTAATGCGTCTCCTCCTTCTTTCAGTAGCTCCGATGATATTTGATCCGATCCCGGTGATTTATTGTTCTTTAATTTGTCCACTGCTGTTCTAATCTCTGCTATTGTTGGTGGACTCTTTTCTCTGTTGTCTGCTTGGTCTAACGGTATATCAGTGTTCATCTCCATCATATTCACCCCAAGCTTTTCCATAAAATGTTCTGTCCATCTTCTTAGTATCTCTTGCTGTTTTGTCAATATATTACCCTCCTTATCTTTACACATCGTTGTTCTCGGTTTGAATTCTTTTCTGCTTTTGTTGAGTTTCTGGTAAAATTTTCTTGTCTCTGTTGGTTTACTTAGTTCTTGTAGTTCTTGAAGTTCTTTGTTGATATATTCTCTATTCTTTCTTCGGTGAATTTTCTTTTCTTCTTTACGTAGTTGTTTATATTCTTCCTCTGCTTGTCGGGTTCTGTGCCTCTGTTGCATCTGTAGATATGCTCTGTTTTTTCTTTCTGTTATAGTTTGATATTCTTCGTCAAACCAGTGATTCGTTCTTGTTCTTCTTTCTTGACCTTCCATGCCCAACACCTCTTTAGCTGTTTCTTTTATGATTTCTCTGCACTCTTCCCACTCCTCATTTAGGATTTCATGTTTTAGTCTGTTTTCTAGTTTGATGCTTATATTTTCTTTGTACTCTCTATTTTTGTTTGTTTCTTTGAGTCCTTCTATATTGTATTGTTCATGTTTAGAGCCTCTTTCCTTTTTGATGTTTGAAATTCTAGCCCTTATCCTACTTTCGACCAGGTAGTGATCAGAATCCGCATTTGCCCCTCTTCTGGTACGGACGTTTATTATATTCGATTGGTGTCTTGAGTCTACAATTACATGATCTATCATATTCACTGTAAGTCCGTCTGGTGATTTCCAGGTGCCTTTGTGTATATCTTTTCGAGCGAAGTATGTGCTGGCAATCACCATGTTAAGTGATCTTGCTAGGTTTACCAACCTATTGCCATTGTCATTTGATTGCTCATGGAGACTGTGCTTACCTATTGTGGGTTGGAATTGCTGCTCTCTTCCAACTTTTGCGTTTAAGTCTCCATAAATTATTTTTCACTTTTTGGGCATGACTGGTATGCGGACTCTAATTCATCATAAAACTCTTCTTTGACTTCCTCTTCTTTTTCTTCTGTGGGGGCATGCGCATTAATTAGTCTTTAGTTAAAGAAACGTCCTTTAATTTTTAAAATACACATTCTGTGACTGATGGCTCTGAAGTCTTTTATTATATGTCTTACTCTCTTGTTATCTATGAATCCAGTGCCCAAAATGTGATCTTTAGAAGTGCAGCTGTAGAAAATGGTATGGCTCTTTTTTTCCATAATATTGTTTTCAATCCACCTCATTTCTTGTATGGCAGTTATGTCAATTTTGTATCTATAATAACCCTGTTTGTAACTATAGAATTATATTTCACTAATTTAAGAACAACTCTCTCAAATTGCCCTCCATCGCACATTTTCAATTACTACGAAACCATCGTTACGAAGAGGGACCAGATACCCAGAGCAAATCACTAATCATAGTAAAGCCGCCACATTAATAATAATGTGCGGTGCTGCAGATGGCACACTACTCCCTCCTTATATAAATTATACATCGCAGCGAACATATGTGGGGCGCGTGGACATTAGGGGTCCACAAGGCTCTCCTTGTTGTAGTATTGGATGTTGTGCAAGAGGAACTAGATATAACAGAACAAAAAATGGGTAGATAGAGGTAACTTGTTTTACAGACTGGTTTGAGACCATAATATTACCACACACAAGACGGCTGGGAGGGAAACTAGTTATAATCGGTGACAGATCTCACTTTTCAGATCATGTATTACACCTGTGTGAATTGCACAATATTGAATTTGCGTGCCTTTCTAGTAATTCAACACACATATGCCAGCCTTTGGATGTATCCTTTTTTAAACCCATCAAAGTATCTTGGCGAAAGATTTTGTTAGATTTTAAATTGCGACACCCAA